GGACGAGGACCTCTCCCCCCACGCCGTGTAACCAGGGGGCCCAACACTCCCTTCTGGGGGGTGGTTCCCCCTATGGCACCACAGCCTCCTCCCCACACATCACCCCCCCAGCACAGACCCCAACCCTCCACTTGCACCCCAATGAGCATCCTGGGGAGGGGGCAGCACCCCTGGCCCCCCTGCCAATGGCAGCATGGGGGGGGGGACATGGCCCCCCCCACCGTGGGCACAGAGACCCCCCCAATCGCACACAGCAGCTGTTAAATAAATTTTAATGCAAATTATTAATGCACATTATTAATGGGGGAGTGTCCTGCCGGGGGGGCTGCCCCCCCCCCATGTTAGAGGTGAGGGAAAGCAGAGCTGGGGGGGGAGGTCCCTGTGCCCCCCCCCCCGGGTTAGACCCTGAGCACCCACCCTGGGGGGACCCCTGTACCCACTCCACAGTGGGGGGATCCCCAGCACCCACCCTGGGGTGGGGGAAGCCCCTCCCCTTTTTGGAGTTTAGCTCTGATCCCCCCCAGCACAGAGGGGGCAGAAATTCCAGTTTCTCCCCAAAAAAGGAGCTGGGAGCCCCCAGACCCCTGCCCCGACCCCCTGTGACATCAACCTCTCCCAGCCCCTGCAGGGGATGGTGGGGGGATCCATCCCCTGCCCCCCCCAGGGGCTGGAGGTCAGACCCGGGACTGGAGGGGCCTGGGGGGGTCCCGCTGGGGGGGTCCCGGGCTGCTGCTGCCGCTGCTGGAGGAGCTGGAGTGGGGGGGCCTGGGGGTGCCCCCCCGGCCCTTGAGGGTGCTGAGCCGGGCGTCCAGGGACAGGGTGCGGGGGCGGCCCCGCCGGGGGGGGCTGGGGCTGCGCAGGGGGGGCCCCTCGAACAGCGACAGCCACGGGGGCGGCCCTGGAGATCGGGGGCCCCCCCGGTGCCGCGTCAGGATGTCGGTCACCGCCGCAATGTCATCCGAGGGGTCAATAGCTGGGGGGGAAAGGGGGGTCAGCAGCGCCCCCAGACCCCTCCTGGAGCCCCCATGGCTGCACTGTGGGGTGGGGGCTGCGAACGGCTCCCCAATATGCCCAGCTCCCTGCCCAGTTCCCCAGAGTTGCCCCATGGCCCTCAAAGGCAGGGGGGGATGGCTCAGAGGTCCCCCCAAATGCCCCATTTTCCCTCCGCTGTGGTCCCCGTGGGTGGAGGGGGGTGTCTCAGGGTCCTACAGTCACTCCCCCACCCCCCCAGCGCTGCCCCACAGCCCCCACAGGTTTTGGGGTTCTCGGGGGCCCTCCCACTGCCCCCTCCAGTGCTGCCCCAAGGCCCCCATGGGCTGGGGGGGGAGTCTTGGGGGTCCCTTTGGTGTCCCCAGGGGTGCTGTGGGGGGGGGGTCTCGGCCCCCCGTGCCCCCCTGTCACCTGTCGCTGTAGTAGGAGCTGAGCAGCGCCCGGATCTCGGCCGAGACGTTCTCCTGCAGCAGGAGCCCCTCGCCCGGGGGGGAACCGGGGGGGCCCGGCGGGGCTGGGGGCACCGGGGGGTGGCAGAGCAGCAGAGAGGGGGGACAGAAAGGGGGGGACAGAGGAGGGGACAGAGAGGGGGACAGCAAGTAGAGAAGAGCGGCGTTAGGGAGTGAGCAGAGAGCAGAGAGGGGGAGACAGAGCAGAGCCCCTCCAGCCCGACCCTCCCGGCCCCTCCCGCCCCACTCACCCGTTTGGTGGTAGAGGGAGCCCTGGGGGGGCAGCGGGGCCGGGGGACGGCGCGGGGGGGGCTCCTCGATCCGCATCAGCTCCTCACAGCACTGCTTCCACTGGCCTGGGGGACAGGGGCAGTGGGGGGACACAGCAGGGCATGGCGTGGGGCTTGCACGGGCATGGGGGTCCTCCTGGAATGGGGGTCCCATGGGAGGGCGGTCCCATGGGATGGAATCATCCCAGGATGGGGATTGCAGTGGGATAGGGTCCCACGGGATGGGGGTCCCACTGGGAATGGGGGCCACAAAGTTGGGCATGGTCCTGCAGAAAGGAAGGTGTTCCATTGGGATGATGAGGGTCCCAGTGGGTTGGGAGTCCTGCAGGGATGGAGGGATCCCACCAGGATGAAGGGTCCCACTGGGATGGGGGTCCTTCAGGAGTGGGGGCTCCCACACAGCTCAGGGGGGTCCCACATGGCTTGGGAAGATCCCACAGGGTTTGGGGGTCCTGTAATGATGGAGGTCCCACCGGGACAGGGTCCCACCAGGATGGAGGGTCAGAAAGGGATGGGGTGTCCCCCAGGGATGATGGGGGGTCCTGCAGGGCTGGGGGTCCCGGGGTCCTCACTCACCCAAGTCGTAGAGGTGCTGCTTGAAGGCCTCGAGCCAGCGCTGGGCTTCGGCCGTGCTCTCGGCCACCAGGGCGTGGGTCACCTCCTCCCCACCCAGCCGGTTGGTGACGGACACCACGGGGGGCTTCCCGCGCCCCCCCGGCTCCGCCCGCACCCGCGTGTCCTGGGGTGGGCAGAGCGTTTGGACCCCACAGTCCCTGTGCCCCCCAGAGCCCCCAAAGACCTCAAACCCCCAGCCCTCCACAGCCCTCAAATCCCTGTACCCACCACCCCCCCCATGCCCCCTCTATCCCCC